TAAAATAGTATTTTTTAAATTCTTCTCTTCTCATTATTGAAATTATTGAATTATATTATATATTTTTAAATAAAAATCATTTTGAAGAAATAACAATTAATATAATAAATCTTATTTATAAAATAATAAATATTTCATATTTCAAAATCATTTGAATAATTATTAATATTTAATAATATTATATCTTGTATTATATACATACTACAAAATCTTTATTTTTTGTAGCTATAGTAAGAGCTTTGATTTCTTCATTTTTTGTTCTTAATTCACTTTCTAATGCTTCAACTCTCAACCTTAATGCTTCACTATTGCCTTCTGCTATTTTTCCAGCTTCTAAATCTGCATATTTGGCCTTGATCCTTGCATTGTCTTCTTTATATAATTGTAACTGTCTTTTCCATTCATCAACATTAGCTGTGGATTCTTGTAATGCACTTGTTAATCTAGCATTATTTGTTTTTAATGTAGTTAATTCAACCTATCAAATTTTTTATAATGAATTATATTATATATAATATAATTATATATAATGATTAATTCGTGAATATTTATATTTATTTTAATATATATAAAACCATACCTCCCATTTTTTAGCATTTGCAGAACTTTGTGCTAATGCAAGTTTCAGCCTATCATTTTCATACTTAAGTTGCATTTCAGCTGATTGTCCCCCTTGTGTTGTAAGTTGTGCTGATTTTCCTTGATGTTGTGGACTTTCTGTACTCTGCTGAGAAACACTCTGTGATCTTGAATGGACTGTATTTTTCAATTCATCATCCACTTTATTTTGACAACTACCAGGTAAGGGACTGCTGCTTACCAAAGATACACTATTTTGTGTAGAAATCACGTTGGCATTTGGATTGGGATTATTTGATGCTGACACATTGGAATTAATCATCGATGAATTTGGTGGGTCTATAAGATCTTGTTCTGATGATGGCATACCCGATCGTGATGTAATTGGGCTAACATTTGCACTAGTAGCTGGTGTAACAGATGAACTGTTTGATTGTAATTTAGCACTAGCTAATTTAGTGGCCTCCTTCACTTCTTGAAATTTCTCTATAAACTGCCAAATAAATAATATTGTCTTTAATATTGCAGTAGTTAATTTATATAAAAACATAATATAATAAATTTTAATTAAATAACTTCTCAAAATAATTTTAAAATATTTTTATGATATAATATAATATAAAATTACTACATTAAATTAAAATATATTTCACAAACCTTTCCTAATTCTACTTCAGATGAAAAACCAAGACCATATATAGTATTAGCTCTAACATCTGACCATTGTCCAAATTTCTGTGATGTTTTTGTAAAAGTCATATTTGGAGTAATAGTGCTATTTATTACTGCCTAAAAAAATAAAAAAAGAATAGAATTAAATAATTTTTAAATACATTATAAATTTATTTTTTTATAACTTATTTTTTAATTACCTTTGTTCCTTCAACAGAAATTATTCTGTATAGACTCCTTGTTGAGTCATAAAAAAATGAAATAGAGACTGCTGCTGTAGATGCTGATACCCAAGATCTTTTTGTCTTAGGATCAATATGAAACACGTGTGCTTTACACGTGAAAATTGGTTGTTCGCTGCAATTTATTAAAAGCAAGAAACTTAGGTACTTAAATATATTGATTTAATTTATACATGCAGCATCTATTTATATCTTATATTCAAAATAAAAATTATAGGTGTTTTAATAATAACGAATATATATCAATATCTTGAAGTTTATTTTTTTGGTAAAACATATTTTATTACATGTATATTTCACAGAAACATAACAAAATTAAGTACATTAAAAAATGTCAAATATACATATTATTTTACATGCCTTAAAATTAATGGAATGAGAATCTAATAATGTTACAATTTAACATTATAATAATATGGATTATGTTATATAAATTTGGAAATTTAATGTTACAATTTAACATTATAATAATACAGATTATATTGTATAAATTTGGAGGAAATCAAATAAAATAAATATGAACAAGCATTTTTCAGTTATATTTTTTATAAAAAACAATTATATTTTTTATTTAGATATTTTAATTTTTCACACATGCAATATATGTACAATTTATATACATTATTTAACATAAACAATTTTAATAAATTTATTAAATTATATAAATTTTATATATTATTAATAAATTTATATGAAAAAATAACTATAACAAAAATAATTAATATTTAACAAAGTATTTAATAAAATATTAATAAGTATTTATAAAATTAATTTAAAAAGAAATAATATTTTATATAAAATTTTTGATTTTTACCAAAATTAAAAAAGACGAAATTTGCTATAATTAATCATATTAAAAAACAGTAGAATAAATATTAATGTGATAAATATTTCTACAATTGACAGAATTGACTTTCATAATTTGAATTTAAAAATATATCAAATAATGCACGAGTAAACAACTAGAATAAACACATTTCACGCGGTGTCGATTTATTCCACTTTCGCTATTTTATTTCACGGTTATATATAGATAAAAAAAAAGAAAAACATTGTGGTCCAGAGTCTTCTTATACGCACCCATCTAAATGCGTAACTGCGATGATGTCGAGAATATGATAGTAAATAGACAAGAAAGGATAGCACTATTCATTAGCTAACGTAATGAAACCGACCTATTTTATATCAATTGATGATATTCGGTAATAACAAAAAATTAAGGACAGTTTATCGTATTTATATGTGATATGAAAATCATACTTTGTGTGTACATATATTACACACCCTTAAAAGGCGGTGCAGAATACCACCACGTTCACTTACCCCATTGTTTCTTTGCCCGATGTCATACAAATGTTGTAAATGCTAATTTCACAGTCTCATAGAAAAATCAATTCAATATAAAGGCGTAATGATTATTTACGAATAAAAATTTTCAAAATTATTTAACGATTTATAAAAATTTATTCGACGAAAATCAGAACTATACCAGTTGACAGCCGCCATCGGCTAAAACTGTATAGCGAACGACAACGATCACGCAACAACATGAAACTAGTCGAGTTTCTACCATATACCTGGATTTAATCGATTTTCCACGAAAGGTTGCTATTGCTAACCTCGTAGCTTTCTTTCAGAAAAATCACTAGATGTATTTGCATCGCAAGGCGCATACTTATGTTCCGATAATATATTTTGCATTATTATTTGGAATGTTGGTAATATAAGTTAACGGTGTTTGAATACGCGACCATTCTTCGTTACATATCGAATCATCTCGTTGCTTTTAAATCTTTCACCAATAGCAAGCAATGAATAGAAGAACAACGTACAAAGTAGTGCCATTATCTCTATCCTTATCTTGTGAGTATGTATCTCGTTTTACCTGAATACAATGAAAGTGCGCAACGTTCAGTGGGTGGGGGCATTATATGAGAAAGAGAGAAAACAAGAGGGAGAGAAATTGTTCGTCTTGAAAGCCGTCATGGCTGATTCATCGTGAGTGACTCTTTCAAGAGTACGATAACAAATGACATTGTGATTGAATCATTAAGTGTAAGAAGTACAGTGCATGGAATTATTTTTGAATCAAAGCGATAATCTCGATGTGGAAATTCCACGAAGAAACGTGATAAACGGCGTTTTCGCGTGCGCGTAACTTCCCCGTGGAACGATGAACGGGTTAAGTTTTAGTGAATTGTGTTGCTTGTTTTGCTGTCCGCCTTGCCCGTCCAGAATCGCTGCAAAACTAGCGTTTCTACCTCCTGAACCTACGTATGCATTTATTGAAGATGAAGGTTCCAAAGTTACAATTTCTTTATCTGAAAGAGCAGAATGGCAGTATACAGAAAGGGAGAAAGAGTCGGTAGAAGGTTTCTATGCAAGAACATCACGAGGAAATCGAATAGCCTGTTTATTTGTACGGTGTTCAGCTACTGCACGTTTTACGATTTTATATTCCCATGGAAATGCAGTCGATCTGGGACAGATGTCTAGTTTTTATTTAGGACTTGGATCGAGAATAAATTGTAACATATTTAGTTATGATTATTCGGGTTATGGAGTTTCTGGTGGTAAACCGTCAGAAAAGAATCTTTATGCGGATATAGATGCTGCGTGGCATGCTCTTAGAACACGTTACGGTATTAGCCCGGAAAACATCATTCTATATGGTCAAAGTATTGGGACTGTACCCACAGTCGATCTGGCCGCGCGATATGAGGTTGGCGCAGTTGTTCTGCATTCACCTTTAATGTCGGGAATGCGAGTTGCTTTTCCTAATACCAAAAGAACTTGGTTCTTTGATGCGTTCCCGAGGTAGGTTAAACTTTGAAATACGTGTATCTCCCTTTATTGTGTTAAATGAAACGCGATCTATAATCCGCTTATCGCATGCTGTGATTCGCACAACTAACTTTACGCGCATGACACTATCATCCAGTTCAGGTGTACATCCATACACGTGGTACAGATATAAATGTATACATATACAAACACATACACATAAGTATTTAAAAGAAAATTCTATATTTACAATTTAAACTAAGTGTAAAATAAATTAAATACTTTATGGATATTTTTATGGAAACTTAAATTATATTTTTTCCATGATCGAGTGATAGTTTTTCAGAATTAAAATATGGGAAGCAATAAAAGTTTATCTATATATATGTGTCATGGAAACCTATAAATTACATGATCCGTTGACATATAGTTCGTTAATAGGTTTTGCACTTTTACTGTCGCTTATTTGCAATCTATCTCTTTTATTTTTATTTAATTAAATTAATTTAAAAATAATAATAATTAACTATTTATTATTTTTACATTTTTTTGTAATATATGTTAAGTAACTAAAGATAAAATATACAATAAAATAAATTTGATATTGTACTTGGTTTACTTATTATATTGTTAAATATAATATTATATATTTTATATTTATGTAAAACTTCATGATGATACATACAAAATATAATGAATCATTGAAATTTTCTTTTTTTACAGTATAGATAAAGTACCAAAAGTAACATCTCCTGTTTTGGTAATTCATGGAACTGAAGATGATGTAATAAATTTCAATCATGGTTTAGCAATTTATGAGAGATGTCCAAGAGCAGTAGAACCATTATGGGTTGAGGTGTATAAAATTTTTCATCTTTTTTCTTTTAAATACTAAAGAAAAAAATTGTATAAATATTATATTTATATTTTCAGGGTGCTGGTCATAATGATGTAGAATTATATGATCAATATTTAGAACGATTGAAGCAATTTGTAAGTGTAGAACTGATAAACTGACGGCGACTAAGCCTCTCCCAGAATCAGGGGGGGCAGGGAGGAGGACATACACATGTAAGCAGTCAAGGACACACCACTTCTAATAATTCAAACACTACCAGTTCTATTTCAACAAGCTCACAGACTGAAAAGCTTGTCTAGCAATCGCCTTCCACAGGGGAGAAGGCACCTGTCCTCCCCTGTGATGAAGAATCATCTTTCGTTTCTATAGATGATGGATTTTTCTTTCGTGATCAACAGATGGATATTAATCAGAAAATTCATCATAAAAATTCTTTAAAGGAAACATGTTCTGAGGATGATGACTCAAGTTTAGATAGTAATTCAAAAAAAGCTATTCAACAAGATGACAAAAATATGAAAGAAGAAGAATTGATAACAAATATTCAAGATAAGAAACATAATAAAACAATATTAGAAGGTACTTCTATTCGCCATAACTTTCGATTAAATCATATTAGTCAAGTTGCAAAAAAACATATTTCTTTGCCAAAAAATATAAAAAACCCATTTACTAAAAGTCAAAAGAATATTGTCCATAGAACTTTAAAAAATTCATTTGGTCAAAGCCATAAGAAAGCTGATATACAAATATCCCATACAACTTTAGTTGACATACAGGTTGAAGACTGCCGACAATATACTATTGAAGAAAAGTCATTGTCATCATATTCCAATATATCTAATGATAATAATAAAAGTATTTCAGATTGTAAAAATAGTCAAAGTCAGTTCAAATCAGAGAAAAAATCTCCTATAAATCAGTTCAAATATAGCAGTATAGAATCTGTGTTGGATTCAGAATGTACTAAAAATAATAAGAAATATTGCAGTAATAAAATTCTAAATAAAGATACAACTATAAAAGATAAGAAGTCTGAAGAACATGATACACAGATCCATCATGAAAAATCAATAGAATCTTCAAAAAAGTTTTCATGGGGTAATAAGAGCAGTAAATTTGCAAGTAAGAGTTTTGAAAAAACATGTAAGGATAAAGGAAAAAATGATTCTATAGAGAAAAAATTGAAAGCTAAAAAAATTCTTTGCAGTCCTTTAAGAAAATTTGGTCGATCATCTTTGACAATCGAACCGGATAAAATTATGATAAATTTACCAAAGTGTTCTCCTTGCGCTTGTAGATTGGCTGCAAGTTCAAAAATTTTATCCAATGATTCCAGTTTATTGTCCCGATTTACTATAAATCGTGAAAGTCCTCATCACGCTGTACGTTCGAAGAGTCCGTCGCATATAGACGTACAAACGGATATTAGTTCAAAGTCTTCAGAAAGGACATCAATGCAGACTAATTTATTTTCAAATATACAACAATTTAAAAAATCACGATATACGCCTCGAAGCAGAAGCGTCGGTGAGTTGTGCAACATTGTCAACAAATGAAGCAGTCTTGAGTTATTCATCTAGTAGAATTTCTGGACAAAACTGGACTTCCAACATCGTCAGTTGAATGCTCAGGAAATGTTTATTCAAAAATTAAAAAGAAAACTATATATAGAACATTCTGATAAAATTTAACAAAGCAACTTTAGAGGCAAAGTGTTAACTAAATAACATGAATCCCACAAGTTGTCGCTCCATTATTCTTCCACATAACTTTAAAGAAATCATAGATTTATACGCACGACACTTATTCGGGCTGTAACAGTGCTAGTGAGACTGTGCACATAAATACACATATAATACATACATAAAATTTATTATATTTCTAGAGATATGAAATAATATATCTGTGCATATTAAATATTCTTATTACACATGCGCACACATACTGGTGCATGCGTGTGTATGTTGTAAGCCGTTTTTATAGCATATGCTGTGGAACGTTGTTACGACAAATATGTCGAGTATTATTATTATTATTTTTACTATTATCTTCCTTAAGATTAGGGAGTCGAATGGCTTACATTGAAATACTTTCTGCTACCACGAATGATACTATACTTGCCTGTAGCAAGTATATGGTATGAGAATTCTTCGCTGAACCTATTTCTTAATTTAAAAATTTCAATATAATTTTATATTATCATTGATTAATTAAGAATTTGTTCATCATCATTCATTATTTCATTATGCATTTAAACTTATTTTTCTAAAATTTTTCTGAAAAAGAATAAGCAGCAATTAGTAGATTTATTAGTGAATATGAGATGTATATTTGGCATTTCAGTGTTTCCTTTTATGACTCAATTTTATAAATTAGGTTCAGCGGTGAAACAAATGTAATGTGAAATCGCATGTTTTTATAAATAAATCGCTGTCACTGTGACCAGTGTATATGATAGCTGTATCGATAACGAAAACATTTGTTTTTATATTGACCCACAGCAGAGGCCTGTGCAGTGAGCAATGGAAATCTTCCAAGATAGCAAAGAATTTAGAATAGAGATTAAAAATTAATGGATAGCGTTAAGAAATCGTGTAAGTGTGAGACGTCATAAAAGACGTTACGTTTTACTGAAAATGAATGAGATGATGAGATAACAATAAGAATGCAACTAGATAGGGACAATATTACTGCCAAACTTGATTATGAATTAGTTTATTTCTAAAGAGATGAATCGTTTGGAGGATCTTGTCTATAGGTATGTTTCTTGTTAGTATTTTTATATCTCGATAATGTAAATACAGTACAATTAAATAATTTTTTCTTCATTAGTGTATGTATAATGTATGCGACAACGTGACTGTACGGAGCCAATGGAATGAATCGGCGCTAGTACATGTATGTATTTCTGTAGAAATTTTTTTTTTAATTTTGAGTTTTCTTGAAAATTTTTACCCGTCCCTGTTATCTTTTAAATAATAAATTACTACGAATGTTTTCAAATTATGAGTATAAATTGAAATTAAATATATGTGTAATTGTAATGGTATGAATGAATGGAAAGTGAATATAAAATTGTTAAAATTTAATTAAAACAAAAAAAAATTAATGAATTACTATTGCAAAATAATTAAGAATAATGTATAATTTTCGTTATTTTATCTATAAGTTTGATATTCTTAATTGTTGTTATCTATATTATTATCTTCAAATATTACTTTTGTTACTTATTTTGCATTGTTATTTTATTAATTATTATCTAATTATCAATCTTTATATTCACTTTCCTTTAATATTAATCTCTTAGAATATATTATGATGCATTATAGTATCGAGATAGAGAGTCCGATACTACTCTTCCATTGGCTTTCACGTAGCCGCTATTAAATTGATCTGTATCGATCGCAATTCTAATATCTATTTCGTAACTTGTGAAAAAAAAAAAATTTATACTGTTGTTTGACAAATATCCAGTTTTATAGACGGCGAATATTTCAAAGAGCGAATTTTATAGTAAACTTAGTAAAAACAACATATACATATATAGAATAACAAAATGATCATCGGTGCTCGACGAAAAATAGATTTGGTCGTATATAAAACTGGATAAAAAATAACTTTTGTACAGCATATTTCGAACGCATACGTGTCCCCTCTTTCTTCTACTTTCATTCTCGTTTTCCATCGTGTGTTTCTCTCTTTCTCTCTTTCTCTCGCTCATTTCTTTTACTATTTTTTATTGTCCTACTCTGTCTCTCAATACGCGTCAAGCAATCGACCGGTTTTGAACAGCACTTTCGTCTTTCATAATTGCATCGTGCTGGTAGAATGGTACTCAATGGTCTTTTTTTTTTTTCTTTGGGTATCACGCGAATCACGGTGCGGTATTCATAACTGTACATATTAGCGTGTAAGTGAAATATTAGAAATAATATACTCGATGTTCTGTTCGGTCGTATCTAATGTACTTACGGGAGAAGATAGGTTAAAGAGATGGGAGGGAGGAGATAACAATGATAGAGATTACAAGATCCCTTGAATCGATCGTTAGTCATATGTCATATGTATCACAAAATGTAGTCACAAAGTGAATTAGTTGATTAGTTGTTTGATAAATAAATAACACGTAGTTCATTACAAAATTATTATAACACAGGAAAGAGAAGAAAGAGAAGAAAGATGAGTATCGTTTATTTCGGAGTAAATAATGAAATTATTGTTTTATTTAGCGCATAAAGATATAATACCAGCCGAAATAACATTATTTCTTATGAGATTGTGTAGAATGCATAGTCTGAAACACATTGCTGGGCACCCGATTAGGGTTGTTTTAAGATTTTATACTTCGATCGCACTTGACTTGAGCGTACTGCATTGCGAAATACTTTATTAATCTTTGCCAAGTCTAAAATAATATATAATTATTATGTATGTAAATCATATACACAAGCTCGCATTGTTCAATACAGCTTGTTTTAACGTTATTCATTTATCGAATAAATCATTTCTCATAGGAATCATTTTTATCCTTTTGTTTGAACGATTGGTCGTCATATACATTACATTCGTTAAAGTGATAGAATTGTATTTAAATAATGCAGCCGCTCATTGTCATACTTTTCTAAAAATCGAAATTATATATATACTCGTAATCTCATTTCCTTTTTTTTTAAAACATTTTTCTCTTTTAGTTAGTATTGATCATTGCAAATTGGTATCTGTAATTAATGCTATTGAAGTAACAATGTTAATAAAATCCTATAGAAATGACAGTAAAACATTTCTGCGTGTTTTGTCCATTAATAATTATATACAATCCAATTGCACGTCCTTTATCAAGCTAAAAATTTTCCCCAAATGTACTGAAATACAACAAGTTCCTTGAAATAAAAATTTCTTTTTAATATATAATAAAGAAATATATGATATACGAATTATCAAAGGCTGAAAATTTCTTTTTAAATTATTTTTTTTGTTTGGACATTTAATGCATTATTAAATTAAGTTAAGAATATTAATTATATATATTTGGAAATTCTTTTCTTTTTTCTTAGTATCCATCAAGTTTTTTTTTTTTATTGGATTGGAGAAGCAGACTGTTCCTGAGCATGGCTTTAAATTTCACGAAGGGTAAAACGCTGTCGTAATTAGTTTGATAGTTGTTAGGCAATCGTATAATTCTGATTATATTCTCGAATAACGATAATACGGTGCAACGTTTGCATTGATCGTCGGCATTTTGTCCTGAAGGTCAATGCGTTTCTATGACGAGGGAGAAGGAAATGCTCGAGAACCATGAGCTGGTTCGCTGGACTTGGCTCAGCACCTTCGCAGCTCACCTGCGCTGAAACCTGATGCTGACGATAAAAATGAGAACAGGTTACGCGGCAGCTTGAGCTCCAATGGCTGCACTATACCTTCAAGCAGCCTACAAAACTGCTTCAAAGAAGAGGTAAAATTTTCTGCTACCGTCGTGTCACGAGGATTAAAATCTATTCGTAATTGTCATCACCAATGATTTCTTCCATGTGGCTCTGGGTTTCATTTCGTATGTAATCTACGCGAAATTACAATGTAGGTAGGTGCTTGTGTAAGCCGTTGTATGTGACTTTTTCATTATTCCTAAAAAAATTTAATATTTTAGAAATAATATTTTTATAAAATATATATTTTATATTCATATTAATAATTTGAAGAAAAAAGAAATTTCAGATAACAATATGTAAAATGCTAAATAATATTCTTTTATATTTGATATTTTTTTTTACCAGATTTATTATTTATTTGTTGCTTATAAAAATTATTATGAAGAAAAGATTCTTATATTTATCTAAAATAAAAAGAATTTTAGAGTTTTATTTTATAATATATTGATCTTATCGTATCGAATCTTATATCTATTATTGTATTGAGATTTGAAAATCATTAAAAATAGTTTACTTGTGATATTATTTCTATATCATAACTATCTTGAATATAGAACGATACACTTTTTTGTATTATGATAGATTGCTTTATTAACAACTTGATTTTGCCACGCCCACGGTGTATAGCGTCACGCAGTCTGCTGAACAATTGTACTTATTCCATATCACACGCTGTCGTAGTGTCCATTAGAGCGTTTACGCGTCGTATGCATGGCATGTAGGCGTCTAACTTTCTGCCGCTATTTTAAGAAAAAGAGAACATATTACAATCAAAAACATTAAAATTACGTATCATATATTAAAAATAATTTCTTTCTTTATATAAAATGTTATAAGCAAAGTTAATAATAATTGTTGTAAAATATTAAAAATATTAAAAACATAAATAGATAAATATGTATATCACTGTTCATTTATATAAAAAAACTTTTTTTTATAAGCAAAAATTTGATTGATATTATATTGAGAATAAGTGATTGTTATAAAAATAATTATCTTTATAGAGACCAATGATTGTTACATATTGAATTGCGTGCTTAAGAACTATATAAAAAGAAAAATTTTCATGTAAGCTTAATTTTTTTCGCGAATTTAACGCTATGTTCGTTTCAAATGAATCGTTTAATGAAAATAAATCACGGCTAAACATTTGCACGTATGAATATATGTGTATCTATGTGTTCGTAACAAGTGTCAAGGGTCTTTGATCGAGACAAGCGTGGTATGTATTGCGTGCAGTATAAGTATCGAAGAATCGTCGAAGGTTGAAGGGGCCAAAGAATGGTCAGAAAAGACAGTAGAGTGGGGAGCATGGTTGATGATGGTGGGGATCGCGGGGTAAGAAGTGGGGTAGAGCGGGACTATGAGTCGGTAGTGGCGGCAGTTGCGTCTCGAACAGCGCGCGTGTTGTTTCGTTCCGTCCTATACGTGTTATCCTCTCGTGATAGCTATCGAAGCTTTTACGTGCCGACAAAATTTGTTTCTTTTTTTTCATTTTGTGTCGCGACTCGCGCCCACGCGGTATCACAAGGGAAACCGTAGTTACGTGGGACGTCCTATAAAGCAGGACAGTGAATTCGGTGGTGTTTTTCAGTGTTACTTTTCTGTGTTTAACGTTAGTTTATGTTAAAAGACGTAGATATTAGTTCTTCTCGCGTAGGTTTTACTACGAAGATTCTTTGCTAAACACCCATTGGGATTTTTTTGTGACTTACTTCTTCACATCGAGGGTTGTTGACACTGGGCGAATACGCTTCGCACCGATCCAGACTATATTTCTGGTAAGTTTGTAAAAATATATTTATTTATTTATTTCCTTAGTTATTTTAGGCGATATTTGTATTATTTTTTCCTTAATATCATTGAATAGTATCATTGAATCCTTAATATGTGAATAGTTCGTTAATGCGAAGTTGATCGGTGATAGAAGACCTTGTTAGGGTCTTCTATCACCTTGTTAGGGTCTTCTATCACAGTTCGAAACACTTACGTTTAGTCGCTTAGAACGAAAAGTATCGTGAATATGAACCGTTGTCCGGTGCAATTAAGAATGCTAGTAGCGTGCAAAAGTTGCATGGCGTTTGGCACGAAGTGCAATAACGGTTGGTTTATTCTCGTACAACTGCTGTATCCTTTGTCATAAATAGTAAATACACGTGTGCCGCGACGACGCCAACATGCCGTGATGTGTCGACTCTAGCGTATGTTACGCGTTAGAAAATTTACGCGCTTCGATTGGCGTTTTTCTTCCAATTGTTTTTTCTTTTCTATCATTTCATATATTATTTCGAAATACGAAATGAACAGCATCTTCAAATATATCCAAAATATATATATATTAGAATATAAAAATTTTTAATATTTAATTTCTAAATATTTCGCAGTATGCTAATGACGAGGTTCGCATAAACAGTATGATATCATCATTCAAAGCTGTTGTTTCGTTTTTCTTTCGTTCTTCCATTGTTTCTTGGAATTTGTGCCTAGTGTTATCAGAAACGTAAACAAACAGGTTGAAATTTTTAAGAATCGAAGAAGTGAAATTCTGCTCTATATCGTATAAAAATAAATAAACTAATAAAATGTTTCTTTCTATTATAATTTTCTATATTTCTACATTCGTTTCATTTTCACGCTCCATTATTAAGCGTCGTAATAGCATAATATTTTCGTGAAATTACTAATCACGCGTGTAGCGTCAATGCTCGACGTAACGAGGTAAATTCTTTTCAGACATTTTCACCGTGACATGTCGGTAGAGAAAAATGAAAAATAAAGCACACGGTTTAAGCGTACGTTTAGCTGTGCGACGGAAGTTTAGAAAGTCGTAGCCAATCGTATATACATGCTGACCGGCTACCCGGCCATTCTGTACGCTCAGAACCGGTTTCGAGCTTTTCGCCCGAGGGGCCCCACGACTTGAACGTAACGACGCGTGGTGGTCGACCACGATAAGCTTGTAGTCATATTGGGTCTGTATGAGACTAAAGGAAAATGTTCCAAATATAACTATCGAATTTTATTACTTTTTAAATATACATATGGCGTTTTTTTTTTGAAAATTCTTTAGCGTGTACATTTGAAAATTTCAAATGCAATTAGGAATATGTATATAAATCAAATCAAAATATTCAAAATATTTTTATAGATATAATAATTCGATTTCAGAGATTATAGTTTCTATAGATTATAATAAATTTTTAAAATATTTTCGGTAGTATTGAATTCATGTTATAGATAGATATGTTGATGTATGTGTCGATAGCGTTTAGGAGCGACATCTGTGATTTACAGGCTAACCCTTGCTGCTCACAAACATAAGTTACATTTAAATCTAAATAAATGTCATATAATGAGATTTGTGATGAGATTTATAGTAGTGTTTTCTTGTAAATTGAATTCTTGCATTTATTTACATTTATAATTTTAGATTAGGTTTTAAATTAGTAATATTCTATAATAATTGAAATATATTTATAATAAAGCGTTTAATCTGAAATTTGAATGTGATATTATTCTACATTTTTATAAGAATTAATAACATTCAAATTCATTTTTTTTAAAGTTATATATTATATTTTTTATCATAGAAAATGAGCGATATGGTTTATATTTTAGTTTATTCAGAAATATTATTATCAAATTAATATTAGTATTAAATTTTCAAATTCATTTTGGAATATATTGTAGTTTTTCATCATATTGGAATATTTTTAACGATCATATGTTATACTATTCCCATGCTATACTATTTTCGTCGATAAATACTTACTAATAAAGCTTGATTTTCATTCAATATCTTTTATTGTAATGCAATGAAAGTCCAGTGGCCTCTATAATTGTTTACAGCAAATGTAAATCGATCGCTACTATGACGTTTATTACTTAGAACAGTGTCTATTGTTCATAATAAATGAATTATTTTTTTGTTTTGTAATGATTCAAATGATCCAAAGATCGATGCGCGCTTTTTGCTTCAGTTAGCTACTTATTGAGATTTAACAAGGCCTGTAAATTGACATTTAATTAATATCTTTTATAGAAGTTCTTTTTTTGTTTTTTAATATCTATTCTTTTTTTATTAGAAATTAAACATTAATATAAATTTTATTTTAAAAAATGAGGTTAGCATGTGATATGAGTATAGCAAACTGAAGATTAGAGTTAATAAACAAATTTAAAATCTTTATTAATTTAATTTCTTATATAAATATATTAATAATAAATAATATTTCTCAAATTTTTAACTATTTTATGCTATTTGTAAGAAGTAATAATATGCAAAACATGTTTGAAAATTAATAGAAACAAAGCTTTGTACAAATAAGTAATTTATCTTTAATTTATAAATAAACTTATTCATACAAAGCATAATTTTGAATTAATTTCAAACGAACAGTTATTTATTGACGTATCTTTCAATGTGTATACTTTTGATAGCTACTATTTTATCGTTACACGCAAATAATACATTCGCAAGTATGTTTTTAAACTCCTAGACAAAATTTTTTTTCCATTCAGTCGCGTTTACTGTTTCTTGACTACTACCGTAAGAAAAGAACATGTCAGTGGATGCAAACACGAGACATGCATTGGGATGAGTAAAGTATGTCATGTTTGTTAAAGAAATATGTACAGTAACCTTTTGCGTGATCCATGAACTTTCATCAAACATTTACAAAACCTCTTCGACGGGAGAAAGTTAAAAAAAAAAAAAAAAGACGTATTTATGGAAATATATACATTTCTTTGGACCCCTAGCGAAAAGAGAAAGTAATGATATATTGTCTAAGAAATCTCTTACACAGATGTGTGTATATAAATCTACTCGAGGTTGAAATATGGAGTTCCATGTCGTTCTCTACATTGAACATTTTTCAATGCACCTTGTTCCATCGCGAATTATGTCAATTATAACGTGTATATCGCGATCCACATCTTACCTCGCGTTATAAATATTTATAAAGTAAAGAAATTTGTTGAATCGACAACAGTTTTACAGTTGATAAAACCTCGACGTGACGAGTCATCGAATTGTTTTATCTGCATAAAAAAAAAAATAATAGACGCGTTACAAGAATACAAGAGGGTGTGTGGTCGTTTATAATTTACGGTCACGATTTTCTTAATCGACCAGAGAAAGAGTTTTTTAATCGGACACGGGGAGAGGTAAAAAGAATCAAGGTTTGTTTATTTAGATAGTATCTCGTCCAATACGAAAAATTCACGTTTTTCCATTCGTTTATCCATGCATAATGTATATCACCGATTATTCAGGATCTCAGTGTGCTCGACAATCTTAATCGCGTTGCGCAAAGTTGGCATTATTCCATTCTGGTCATTTGTCACGAGCGAGAGTTGATACCGGTAGTGCGAATAGACGATTCATGTAAATCCGCGAACCAAGCGGTTTTCATATTATTCTAATTGGCAAACTTCTCTCTTCTCTCTCTCTTTCTTTCTTTCTCTGTTTGCTTCTCTTTCCTTCCCTTTGACTTCTACTTGGAATTTATGAACACCCTTCTTGCACACCGTGGTGCATACGTATAAATCCTGTCGTGTAACGATGATTTATCGCGTGGAATCTTCTTATGCTTTCATTTATTAAACTCGTTCCGTTAAAATAGCGGAGTTAACGGTACTTCGTCGATTACCAGTTTTCTGAATATCCAGAAAATCCCTCGATTTACTCCCCACTTGACATATGATAGAATCTCGTTTATCCGCTTCTTTGACGTGCGAACAAGTTA